GAAAGAAAAGTTACAAGAAAATTGTAATGGGATTTAGTATAAGCTAAAGCTAATGTTTTCCTTCCGTTAAAGGACTTTCTGCCCATAAAACACTGCATTCTGAAAATGGTACAGAAAAGACTCCTTTTTCATCTTTGTTGTTATCTACCAAATATTGAAATTGATAGTAAAACCTTTGTTTTTAGCTGTGAAATAAATTCAAAATAGCATTGGTTTTTGTTTCATTACATCAATATGACATTTCTGTAAATAAAACTTTTGAGAACAGAAGTTACAACGGGGCTGAATAGATGTCCATTGCTAGCAGTGGAGAGCTGAGAGAGCTTGCTCATTGTGGCATCTCACCCCCTGCTTCATCGGTCACCACTGCAGAAATGGCGTTTCCTGTGGTCCTATCAGGGAGAACATTGTTTACATCAGCATCTCACAAACAGAACTCTAGGGTATGTAACAAGCAGTAGTATCAACAGATATTTTTATTGTTATTATATTTCTCCTCTGTTCAGATTTATTCAGTCCAGGTAGGCTGTGTACCAGTTATAGCACGCACAACTTTTTTTTTTGCTATAGGAACAACTATTAACCATACCTCCCATCCTTTCTCTCTCTCTCTATCCCATACACACACTTCATTTATCTCTCTCCCTCTGCATCCTTTAATTTCCTAGATAGACAGGACCCAGAAAAAGACACAGGGCCCAGCTCATCTGTTTGAACAAACATCTTCCACGGATGAGATATTCAGAACATTGACCCATGCAGATGTGTGGGTCCTGTCTCATGTGTTTTATTTGTTCTTTATGGATATTTCTCTGTATCTATCTGCAAAAGAAAATTCATTAATTGATTGAATCCATAATGGTCTGAATGTTTCTTACCATGTAACGCAATATTTCCAGTTGTTTGTTGCAGTCACACACTGTTGTCTATTTGAGTAATATTAAATAAGCTTGAGACAGATTATTTGCAGAACAGAGAGATGATCATGCCCCTAGCAATAATAGGAACATACAGTAATGGGTAAAAATACATAACACACGTGCTTTTGCAGCATTGTATTTTGCTGTCATGTGAGGTAATGCAATGATGCTACAGATTATAGACAATTCCTTACACTTATATAGCACTTTTCTGGAAACTCCACTCAAAGCGCTTTTCAGATCATTTGGACTCCCCTCCACCACACCAATGTGTGGCCCCATCTGGATGATGCAATGACAGTAATAGTGCACCAGTATGCTCACCACACATCAGCTATCAGTGGGGAGGAGAACAGAGTGATGAAGCCAGTTCTTAGATGGTGATTATTAGGATGCCATGATAGCTAAGGACCAATAACAAATTTGGGTGTGGGGCTAACACCGGGGCAACACCCCTATTCTTTTTGAGAAATGCCCTTGGATTTTTTACCACAGATGGTCAGGACCTTGTTTTTAAGTCTTATCCACAGTATGGCACCTTTTTATAGTATTGTATACCCATCACTATACCGGGGCATTAGGACCCACATAAACTGCGGGGCGAGCACCTCCTGCTGGTCTCATTAACACTTCTTCCAGGAGCAAATTTAGCTTTTCTCTCCCATCCAGATACTAATGGGGCTTAAACCTCCTTAATTTCAGTGGGTTGACAGTTATGGGTTGCAGGGTGATATGGCTTCTGGCATAATCAGAAGAGATTTAAGAAGGCCTCAGAAAGAGAGTAATTTATTCTCATCAATTTAAAAAGAGTTACAAAATAATTTCTAAACATTTTGGAGATCCATCATCGACTACCTGAGAGTGGAAAGTATGCAAAAAAAAAAAATCAAAACCACTATGACTCTATCCAGGACTGATCGTTTTGCCAAGATCTTCCATGAACAACCTGGGAAATCATTCATGTTGTCATAAAGAACACCAGAGTAACATCTAAGGATCTGCAGTCCTCTCTTGCAATGGCTAATGTTGGTGTTCATGCTTCAACCATCAGGAAAAGAGTGAACTGGAATGTTTTTCATTTCATGAGGAATAAAATATGTTTAAAGTGTAAAATATATGAGGATGGTGATGAACCGAAAGGATCCACAAACTTTTTGTTGGCACTGTTTAACATGTTTGTGCTCACACTCTTTGTGCAAAATACATTAAATGCATGCTCTTAGTTGCAATGGTTAATAACGAGACAGAGTTTCAGTTGAAAGTTGACAGCAGGATTACTGGTATAAAGAAATCAGGTGAAAATGATGGAAGACACCATTAAGGATTTGAAAGCTGACAAGGACTTTCTACAGAGGGAGCTCAGTAACAGTGGTCCCAGTATGATTATGTGAAAATGTATTTTGCTATATGGTTTTTATACATTTTGTTTTATTATGTTGTATAGTGTTTATGTAAGAGTTATGATGAAATTTGCTTTTTTCAGGTAAAGTGTTGAAATTTCGAACCTGCGTTCACTGGTTAATCAATATGAAGTGGTGGAGGATAAAAAAACAAGACAATGTAACTCTTCATTTAAACATGTGATAAAACCATAGCTTAACTTACAGCTGTACAGACCTACAATATAAAAGTAACAGGAAAAGAGTTGGCATAAACGGAAAGGCTGAGACTGGTGGAATTTTTATTCAGAGCCACAAGAGATATTGGCTCAGGTCAGCCAGTTATCTCAGTGTTAAAGCTAGGCTGTTGCCTATCTCTTGTGCAGACACAGGTATGCCCACAATCCCCGGCTAGTTAATAGCTGTCAGATACGCTGGGCTCTCTCCACTGCACTTGTCCCACCAGGAGTCCTCTGGCAGCTGTGCAAAATCACAGCCCATTAGCTGCTGCCCAAGCTGCTCCTGCCAGGTCCAACCTGTCGCTGTCAGCAGTGCCATCACCCACTAACGACATGCCAACGGCAGGAGGTTACCTGACAGGGTAGAGGCAGCTGAGTCCTCCCCCTACACACACCTCCTTCAGTCTCCTTCTCTGTAATATGAGAGTTTAGGCTACAGTATAAAAGTGAAATAAAGTGCCATGATCTGCTCTTATTGTACTTCACAATAGTTTTAAGCACGCTGTCATTTTGTTTTACTACACAATTCTACAATAATGTCGTGATGCATTATGCAGTAGATACAGCCAGAAGAGTAGTACCTTGGAGTCCACACAATCCTTTACAAAAATAAGCCTCACTATTCTTGTGTATTAAAGCATGATAAATGCATTGGTAATACACAGGAACTTTTAATGGAAGGAAAGAAAATTATTCTAAAATACTGATAAAAGTTAAAGTTATCCTTCAAATTTCAGTTGTTTGATACTGGTATGCATGTCAAAGTGTTTTAGTGCTTTTTGGAGTGACCAGTCTGCATCACATTCTACTGTATATAAGATCAGAAGTTCTTTCCTTGTTGTTTAAATACTGCTTAGAAAACAAAAACCTGAATTCAAACCAAATAATTGTGCAGCCAATCTGAGTTGGCAGCCTGAACAGAAGAGTTTAAAGTGCAAATATATATCTGGCACAATAACTATAGTATAATGTTGAAATACAAAACATCTGTCGGTACACTGGCACCATAGTTTGCATAGCTTTGTATATACAGTAAATACACAAATTGTATTGACCTTAAACAGGTCTAGTCAGAGAATGCGCTACCCTCCCCTGAGTGCTGATAAGAAGAAGATGATATGATGATATACACTGTATCGGTATTGGGACTTGGAGCAATTGAAACCCCAGGGTTTGCTGCTAATGTGGCATCCAACATATATAACAATACTTCAGGACTCATTCTGAAAAATAGTCAAAATTGGGATGAAAGTTAGATTACATTGCCCATTAGGGACACATGCATCACATATGTATTTGCTTAGAAGAGGATTAAAAATACAGCAAATATACATAAAAAATTAACTGCTTACGGCGGGTAATAAAAACAAAATGGTAATGATGATAGCAATGATTCTGAGAAATGTGAGAACATTAGACTGGCACAAGAGTGCTACAGAATGGAAATGAAGGAGGAGGAAGAAGATGGGAGTTTACTGGAACAAGAAAGTACAGAAATTCATTGCTGTTGAAGTGTTAAATATTTAAATGTATGTTAATAATGTAAACCATGAAGTACACAAGGTTCTCTGAAGATGTTCTACTTAGATTAGTTTCATAGCTTAATATTCACATAAATTGCTCATACAGTAGACACTGTTTTGAAGTTTTTTATAACATATTTGAAGTAGTTATTCATGCAAAAACAGTAGAGAATCACTTGAAAAACCTATCATAATAAATACAAGTAATAAATAACATGAAAATATATAAAATATTAACACCTGAACAATGTAATACAGGGTTTTCTGCTTAAGCTGTGAGATAATAGCTGGGTGAGTAGCCTGGAGACAGAATTTAGTTTAGTGATCAGTAGGCCATTGCAGATGTTGATTAAGGTTGTGTCAGTTCATTTCTTTTGCAGGCCGTTTAAAATACATTTGTGGATTTACATCGCTGTTCCCAATGTTTAGAAATTACCCACAGCTAAACATTGTAATTGCTAATTAATTGTTTTTTATTTACTGTGCGTGATTTCACCTAGGTATCAAATCTATCTACAACTAAAACTTCGATTTTTAAAGAAAGGTTTGGATAATGCGAGTACAACAGGCAAAGGTTTCTCATTGTGCTTAAGACACACATCCTACAGTACTTAATTCCACAGATGCATTGCCTCAGAGAGAAACTTGGGGACTTGGTGGAGCAACTATTTTAGAGAGCTAAAAATCCAACAAGGAATAACTTAGAAACATTACCACTACCAACTCAACGATCTCGACTCAATATTTAGAATTATAATTTAGAATTATTAATACCATTATATCTTAATGGCTACACTACTGCATGTGCTGGAGCAGTTTAAACAGTGAGGAGACTGGCTGACAGAGAAAGGGAGGCTTTCTAGCTTCACTGACCTTCTTCTGCTCCTTAAACCTCCTTCTGTGTGTGTTTTACTTATGATGCTTTATTTCTGTTCACAGGCTGTGGAGACAAATCTGGCTTCCAAAGACAGCCACTGGGTCTTCGTGAATGAGGTTAGTGAGGCTTAGTGTCTGCAAATGCTTTTGTTGTGACCTTTCACTCTCTACCCTTTCCCTTCAAAGTGGTCCAGTTTTTCTCAGATCAAATGACTGCTTTTAGTTGGTTATTGCATCCTTTGAATTGAAATAAAAAAGTTCTGTCCTTCTGCCTGACTGTAAGAAGAACAGAAAGGTGGCATGAATGGAGGCTTTGTGCCTGGAATGCCAAGCACCTGCTGTACATGTATGCAACTGCTGCTCTGAGTCCTGGGTGAGATCAGAAACATTTCCTCCAGATTTCAACATGCTTTTGGAGATAAAGAGGGGAAAAGAGCTTTGCACATAAGCTTTGTGCTTCATTCATTATATTCTTCCCTTGGTTAGATGAAGCTTGTCCTTAAGCTGCATTTCTGACCCTAAAGGTTTTCTGATGGCCTCTTGAGTCAGCTGGGAGATAAATTGCCCTTAGCACAACATGTATAGCTACTATTGAAGGAGGGGTGGTTTAGTTCTTTTGGCAACCAACGGCAATGAGAACTGCAGTGCTATTATGTCAAGAGACCTAGAATAATATATTAACATACTTTACGTTACATCCATTAAACACTGTATTCTAGTAGCATTTTACAGAACATTTAAATTGATCTAGTGTGATTTTGACTGAATGAAGGTTATGTTCTTGCATATTTATGTTGTAATTTCAGATAGCACCTTGACAATTTAATACACAGAGATAACTGTGCTCCTGGATTCCAGCCATTGCCTGATGGACCAAAATCGATTGCATTATGGACCAAAAGCTAATTGGACATGATACATACCTGAAGTCAACATTTGTTGATCTTCCTTATCCATCTCTGCCCTTCTGATGGGTGAGGCACTGACTCTGCTCATGGGCACTACAGTTTCACTATTACACTGCACCACTCTGCATACACCAGAGAAATCCACCAAAACAAAAGACTGCCCTAGAATTCAGCATTATCCATATCGCAAGGGGATTATGTCTTTGTACAGCTCAAATGAGTCCTATTAAACCCATACATCTAAAAATGACATAGAGTAAGTCTGGATAAAAGAACAAATGACACACACACACACACATATATATATATTCTTGATTCTTTCCTTTTATTTTGTTTGTTTGAATGTTTATTTTCAACCAAACATTCTATTCCCTTTCGGAGAGCTCCATAAAATGACTGTTTTATCTAAAGTGCATTATAACAAGAAAAAGATCAATTTGCATGTCAGGTTACTTTCTACCAGGATCTATAATCTAGCCAACCTCTCTCCCCTGACTGCTACAGTGAGTGATTTCACTACACTATATGTCAAAATGTACTTTACATTTAACAAAAGTCTTTCCCATATTCAGTGGAACATTTATTTTGTCATGAAAAGATTTTTTTTGTAAAAATTACTGTCAGTGTTGTACTATAAGTTGCAGTAGATCAGTTGATCACTGCTTCTACTTACATCAGTTTGTGGCTCTGAAAATAGACTTAGTAAGAAAAATCTGATGTTGGAGTAGATGGGAAAGTAACTGTGCAACATCAGGTGGGTAGTAATTTATTGTTTTTGAATAGCTTCCTTTAAAGGCTGGGTGATGAATTTCTACCTGCAGATATGTATGAAGTGAAAAGCACACCACGCAAAAGCTAATGTGGGTCTTCATGCTTTGGAGGAGTAAACAACTTGTCCTTTAATAAAGTAAGGTCATATTTGTTTAAAACAATATGTGGAAAATCAAGGGCACTAAAATCTTAAATACAGTATTGCAAGGAAATGCAGTTGCAATTCCCTTTGAAATACCCAGTCTAAAGGAGAGGGCAGATTATTCTATTCATCATTCTATTCATATTCTTTATATTTATCCAATTAATAAACTCTATGATATATACAATTTCTGCAAATATGTATCAACATATATTAACATATATATATATATTCATGCATACATATTATCCTTTATCCTTTGTTAAATCAACCCCTGAACACATCCAACATCAAATATTTAATCTTTCCCTAAATATCTTCTCATTCTAACCTGGCTATGTTCCCAGTTTCGGTATAATTGTGTTGTTTTGAAGCACACATGTACATTACTCTCACACAATCAGCATAGTATCTCCTGTTCTCATGAGATATACTGTAATTGCTGGACTCTTTGGTACTGAACTAATGTGGTAATCTCCAATTTCTCGTAACATTAATGAAGTTGCACTGTGAGCGACAAGAGAGACATAAAAATGAGGGTTTTGCAAGTTTGAGACTGACCCATGGATTACTATGACTCCCAGGATTTATGCTGAAACTTATTTGGCTTGTTTTTACAAGAACATATAATCTAGTAAAATCAAATGTTGTGTTACAAACTATTACTACTTCTTAAGTTTAAAAGCAAATTGTTACAGGCAATCAAAAAAGATGGTACAGGCACTATAATAGAGTTGTTTAAAACTAATAAAACAATATGGACTTTAAGAGATTGTAATCTAGATTTATCCTATGTTGGTAATATGAAATATTATTGATTTATGGTGTAAAAGTTGAGTATGACATTGAGTTTTCTTTGCAACAATTCTTAGTTACATCTTTGCCTCAGGAATGGAATTGCTATTAGCAGTGTTACTATTAAGGACTAATTACCATATTGTTAAATTATTACTATTACTATGACTTTTGTAACTGTCGCTGTTGCTGCATGATGTATCATGGTTTCTGTTGAAAGAAAGCAATGCAACTGGTTCAAAATGTTTGCCTGATTGTGACTTTATGTACAGTAGCTGCTCTGGATATGCAATATGAGAACCCCTGCATTTTATTAAGATACACACAATAGTGTGTGATTTTAAAGGCCTCTTTTTTTGTAGTGTCTTTCATGCTCATGAATGACTTTCATATTGTAGTGTTGCAGTGACAGATTGTAGTGTCCTCGTTGCTCATAGTATGATTTAGTTGTAGTGGTTCATTTTAAGAAAGGAGAATATCTGATTCTGTATCAATTAACCTGTGTTTAGAAATCTCATACAGTATGTTCTAGTCAATGTATAATGTACCTACTTACTAATGGCTGAATACAATAAAAGCTAAATGGTAGGTTTGTCTAATTCAGAGTCTAATCCATTTTGTCTAATTCAGGGTCGCAGAGGAGCTAGAGCCTAACTTGGCAAGCAATGGGCACAAGGTGTCAATGGATGGAATTGGCTACTACATCACAGGGCACATACAGATACGCACACACTCACACCAGGGCCAGTTTTCCCAGAAGCCAAATAACCTAGTAACTTAGATAAAGTGTTATAAGGGCAGATACATACTATTTTACTCTTTCCTTCGGATTCCTTTTTTTGAATATTTGACTACTCAGGTTGACAGTTTGATTTCAGCTTTTTCATGAGTAATATTCTTCCAGCTACTGCTTCCTCACTGAATAAAAATGTACCACTTATTACTTATCTATCTTTACATTTTCACAATAGAAAACAAAGTAAATGTTAAGACTGTGCCTGAAATATGCCATACACTGCATACATTTTTCCTCCACAATACATATACAGTAAGAACACATTAAAATAGTATCCCACGTTTCTTAATGTAATCACTAAACAATCTAGCTCTGGTAATTACAATGTTAAAACACTGTGCTAGGACTTTCAATATAAATTCCTTTTGTGGTATTGCTAGATTTATTATTTGCTGTATACTTCATATGTTATAGGGGTGCCTCATTTTAGAATAATTTAAAATGAAATGTGACGTTCACGTTACATTGTGTCCATAAAAATAATTTCAGAAGGTACTGTAGATTAAATTCCATTTTCCAGGAACAGACTTTGCTGACCTCCAGATACACTTGTCCTGTCTTCAACACGTGTACAAACTGCAGTTGTTAGATGCACAGATTTAGACAATTTCCTTCTGAAAACACAATGTACACGATGAGAGAGCAGCATTCGGATTGTTTCCTTGTCACTTAAGATGCACTCTGAAAAAGAAATTGCTCTTGTTTGTTCTACTTACAAAGCAGATACAGAAAAGAGGGAAAATGAAAATGATGGAGAAGAAAACAGTTTGTTAAATGATTGAAGGGGAGAAAACATCTAAAGAACAGAGAGCATGCTTGTATATATATGTAAGCCTGTTCTGTTTTGTTATATATTTTTTATTTTAAGTTGTCTGTCAGGGAAAACGTTGATCAGAGTAGAAAGTTGTTTTGAAAAATGAATAATGAATAATGAATAATGAATATCAGAGCAGTTTTAATATATATTCTGCCAGCTCTGAAACAGTGTGCCACTCCCTCAGTAGTTCTTCTACAATAGACAAAGTTTGTATTTTGCAATATTGACTCGTACTGTAGCTCTGCACCATCTATGTAGAAAAAAAAAATGTCTACGTTTGCTCTTGCTGGAATGTCTCGATATATCATAGGGCCAGATGAACCAATTTTGTCCCCTCGGGGTATCTTCTTACCTGCAGATTACCTGAATTGCAAAACAACATGCAAAGTCGCCACTCTGACATAGTAGGAAGAGAATTGTCAGGCTCTTAGTCTGAAAAAATGTTCAGTAATTCAGAACTTGCAAGAGGGGATTAGAGCATGTTTTCAGTGGTCTTAAATGGGAAAACAATGTTCACTTTGACAAGTCAGAGGAGTATAGCCCTATTTTTGGATCTGCCACTTGTCCCTGAAGTGGGTCCCGGCAATTCAAAGCAGTTCTATCTGTTATGCATAGATATTTTTCAAAATCATAGTCAATTAACTTAATCTGCTTGTGATTAAACACTAATCTTAGGTGAAGATTCAAAAAGCTCTGTTTATTTACATTTATGATTATTAGATATGACTAATAGATATAACTCCAGAGGAATAAATTATTTATCAACACATCTGATTCAATTTCTGTAGTAGAAATTGCTACATGGTTCTTCAATTCATTTAAAAAAGGTTCATACACAGCATTTTACTGTGCTGTTGTGGTACTATATTTGTTCTGCGGCAAAAGACCAATGTATTTCTCCTGTGTGCCAGCTGTTGTTAAGAAAGCAATGATTCAGTAACCAGCAGCTCTAAAATACAGTATATTCATTTGAACAGCTGAAGCGGTCTGAGTTTAGTTAAGAAGAACAAAAAAGGCTATGTATGCTGTGGTTCTCACCATCCTTTCCTGCTGTACCTGAACTATCTGCAAAGAAAGACCTGCATCTGGAGATCAACTCTGCTCAGTGGAGATTTAAAACTTTTATGTGACATGAAGTCAGAAAACTTGTACAGAAGCGCAATTGAATCACCTAATGAAAATAGAACTCCAGCACTCTGGAATGGCATGCAATCTCATAAAGGGCACCACAGGCTGCAGGTCATGAGATATTTGTTTCACAAAAAGCAGATTTCAGAGGACTTGCTCTACCTTTCACCTCAACTCTGAAATAACCAATCCCTGTGGACAGAGCCTGTCTGTCTTGGTGTCCCAGCCAGGGTGGCAGTGCCTGCCTCTGCTGTCAAACATCCCCCTGACTTAGGCAGCACATGTCTTAGAAGGGCCTTGCATCCACATGGCTGAACCGATTCCCAAGAGCTTGAGCACAACACAAACAGGCAGACAAACGAATAAGTAAAAGTGTCTAAAATGCGAGAGGACAGCAGCTGTCTGGGCCTTCTCACCATGGCCAAATTGCACTTCTGCCCCTGGGCTGACTTCTCAGTAAGGCGATGATATTATTCTGGCATTTACAGATGACACCTCTGAAATGGCCAGAAGGGCATAGCATGTCCTGTTACTGACGACAGAGTTTGAGTATTCATAGGCACACATTTTGGTGTATTCATATACAGTACACACAATATACTGTACACTTACAGGTACCTACAGTATACTGTATGAACGGTGATTGCACATCCCTCCTACACAAAGATAGATATAATCATATACATTTAGTTAGACACTATAAAGGACAGAATCTTAAGGAAAACAAGAAAACATGATACAGAAATAAGACATTGAAAAGGAATAACTTCTTTACACAAAGAGTGGCAGTCTGGAAAAAGCTTCCCAGCCATACGATTGAAGTCATACCCTGGTTTCTTTAAAGGTATGGATAGTTGAGTCATAATCATAAGGATATACAATTAAGGAAACATGACACAGAATTAAGACATTGAAACCATAATAGTATGACTGAATGAGACTCTCAGATCAATTAGCTACAGCACTAGTAGCTAAACAAGAAGCCTACTATTGTCATTAACCTTTCTTCAGAAAAACATTAATTTTGAATTCCTCTGTAGATATCATGCAGAAAATCATGTCTTTAAAGTTCTTACAACATATTTGTCAATAATTCATTGGGTTAAATGAAATTTGTATAGAGAGGCATCATTTAGATACTACAATTATTTGATGTTGGAGAATTGAAATGTTTTATTTTCTGATGCTTCTGGGTTATCCAGAGTGGATGTGTGTAAAGTTTTACTGATCATATCCAGAGCGGATGTGTGTAAAGTTTTTAAAAAGACCAATCCACGCAAGGCTCCAGGCCCTGATGCCATCCCTGGCCGCGTTCTGAAGGCATGTGCAGACCAGCTGGCAGATGTCTTCTCGGACATATCTCTCCCTAGCTCAGTCTATAGTTCCTTCCTGCTTTAAGAAGACCACCATTGTCCCTTTTCCTAAAAAATCCAGAGTCAGCTGCCTAAATGACTACCGCCCTGTTGCACTCACATCAGTTATCATGAAGTGCTTTGAGCAGCTGGTCAAAGAATGCATCACCTCCTCACTGCCTGACACCCTAGACCCACTGCAATTTGCATACCGCCAGAACAGGTCAACAGAAGATGCTATTGCCACTGCCCTCCATACTGCCCTCTCACACCTGGATAAGAAAGGAACATATGTGAGAATGCAGTTTGTTGATTACAGCTCAGCATTCAATACCATAGTGCCTTCAAAGCTCGTCATCAAGCTCCAGGACCTGGGACTGAACACTTCCCTCTGTAATTGGATCCTGGACTTCTTGACGGAACTCCATCATCAAGTTTGCGGACGATACAGCAGTCATTGGCCTGATCACAGATGGTGAGGAGTCTGCATACAGGGAGGAGGTTGAAACCCTGGCAGTATGGTGGCATCAGAACAACCTCTCTCTGAACATCAGTAAGACTAAGGAGATGGTTGTGGACTATAGGAAACATCAGGGTGGAGACCACACACCTATTCACATCAATGGGACTGCAGTGGAGATGGTCAGCAGCTTTAAGTTCCTGGGAGTTAACATCTCAGAGGATTTAACCTGGACCCACCACACCAACACCGTGGTCAAGACAGCACGGCAGCGCCTGTTCTTTCTCCGCAGGCTAAAGAAGTTCGGCATGCCATCACTTATCCAGGCCAACTTCTACAGGTGCACTACTGAGAGCATCCTGACTGGTTGCATCACTGCCTGGTATGGTAGCTGCTCCGCACGGGATCGCAAAGTATGTCAGAGGGTGGTGAAGTCAGCACAGCTTATCACCAGCTGTGAGCTAGCAAGCATCCAGGAGATCTACTCAGCTAGATGTCTGAAGAAGGCCAGATACATTCTCAAGGACCCCAGTCGTCCCAGTCACAAACTGTTTTCCCTCCTACTGTCCAGTAAACGGTACCAAAGCATTCGGTCCAAGTCCAACAGACTACGGAACAGCTTCTACCTCCAGGCAATAAGACTGCAAAATAGCCAACTTGCAGCTCCTTAGCAAATCACCTGTAATGGCTACATGGACACACAATTCTCACTATATTCAGCATAACTGCACTACATGTATATATTGCATACACCATGGACACATAACAGCTCTACTCAAATTGAGTTTTATTCAATTTAAAAAATGTAACCTCAATTTTGTGATTTTTTGTGTTTTTGTGATTTTTGTGATTCTTGTAATTCTTGTAATTTTTGTGAGCTCACAGAAAAATATATTTCTTTGCCAGCAACTATTGCTGCATGCCGTATTGTTGTGCATTTGATAAATAAACTCTGATTGATTGATTGTGAAACGTACAGTAATTAGGCCTTTTTCTCCAATGAGAAAATGTAGTCTGCCAGATAGCCTGTGCTGAAATCTGAAATGTTTCACAGCAATGCAACTGTAACTAAAGAGATGAAAAACTACCATAATCCAACTGAAAGCCCTACCACAACTCAGGCACCTTAATTATTTCCTGCCCTGTGTCTTAAAAAGTCACCAGGTCCTTTAAGGTTAACCTCTGTAGACACACAACAGAGGTGAAGAGCTTTAATTAGGCAGTTAAAATCCAGCCAGCATGTCCCTTGGCACCTTCATCAGCTCTGCAGAAGAGCACGTCATCTAGTCTTCATAGTTTATTCTTCAGGTGGGACACAGAAAGACCCTGTTGCTGTGGTGGCAGCCACTTTATGTGCGGTGTGTCCTTTTCTGTGACCAGATGGGTCTGAATGTTTGGCTTGCTACAGAGTTGACACTCTACTCTCCATGGGTCAGGTCTCATGGTGACAAGTTCACTCTGCTTCTGGTGTAGCATTAACTCTGACAATAATGACATTTTTTTCAGTGTGCTGCATGCTTTTGGATTGCAAATATTGATTTTGGATGTCGCAAAAAATAAAACGTAATACAGATACAGTACATTAGCATTTTGTCAGATTGTAGCATTCAGGATTAATACATGTAATTGATTAAGATAACCCTTTCAAGAATATCAGTGATGTGCTTAAATTGGTATAAAGTTTCATGCCTTATCTGAACAGTTTAAGAACAGACCACAGCATACTCACATTGTCTATATCCTATTCTGTATTTGCACAACATAGTTATATTGAACATATTTATACTATATTTTCTGTACTTCTGTTCTTTCTGCAGGAGATCAGCGATGCAGAGATCTTGGAGCTGGTGCACAGTGCACTGGGTCGAATGACAGTAATTCGGCAAATTTTTCCATTGTGGAAAGACAGCAATGTACGCTGTATGAGAAACAACCACCGGATCTCCTCACTGCTGTGTGATCCCCAGGAAGGGTACCTGCAGTCTCTGGAGGTGAGGTGCATGATTCACTGGTTGATTACGGAGATCCTCGGTTACTCCTTATGCTATGAACACAGCTGTGCACTACGCATTCAATTCTGTTCTCAATGGACTCATTAGCAATCCAGTGCTGCTAAAATTGGTGTTTCAGTGTCTTATGTCTGATAACATTCCTGATAAGATCACCTGAACAGACTTCATTACTGCATTATGAATATTTAAGTGATAGTGGAGGTTACCCTAGCAAAACATGCATTTTTCTGCTATTAAGTAATTTGTGCTGCATACTTTAAGTGATGTGAAGAAGTGGAAAAACTCATTAGAAATGCGTGGGTCTAGATAAGCTTTTAAAGTACTCATTGATAGAGAACACCTCTCCTCTGTGGTTAGTTAGTGTTGGTAAGAGTATTTCTGAGCTGCATTTGCCTTGGCTGTACAGAAGCAGTTTTCTTAGGGATTTATTTCCAAATGGAACTTATTAAATCCTTGGCAGGCTGTATTATTAAGAGTGTGTAGCCCAATTGGAGACCAAACAACAGACTCCTACTTATTCCAATCTGTGCACTACCCGATTCAGAAGATTTAATGTCTGTGAATAACAGAAGCTCATGGTAAAAGCTTTCACTTTGTATAGTACCACCACAGCCATTCTGTTGCACTCTTTTCGTAACCAGCAATTGTTTCTTTCTCTCAGAACTCCTTGAACCTCCTTTAACCCTGCTTTATAGTGCTTCAAGAACAGATGGCAAAGCTATAATGAAAATACTCTTGGGTTTCTTCCTCAATAATTCATACAAAAGAGGGTTAAATGGTATTTGGTGTTGAATCACCTTGCTGACAAGCAAATCCATGGGTTATTCTAGCCAAGAGCACGTCAGCCTCTTTTGGATAAAATCTGTTTCAATAATACATTTTCCCTTGGAACCTGGAAAGTAGCAATGGAGGAAACATTGAATTTTTAGAAAGCTGTTAATTAACAATTAAGAAGATAAGTCACATATTCACATATTGGAGTCTTAAAACCAAAAGAAACAGAGGTCTCATTAATAATGTAACTTTAATCTACATATAGTATTTCTGGGAAACATCCCATATATAGTAAGTTGAGGCTGGTTAAAAAAGGAAATAGTGACATGAGCAAAAATAAACTCATCTTTGAGTTTGTAAGTCACTGTGAGACTTGAAGTATAGTGTGAGCACAGTGGCTAGAGGCACTGTGTATATAGTCTTTCAGTCACAGTGATTTGTCACATATGCCAGCCAGGAGATGCACAGTCAGCATTACTGTGTCTTCACAAGCTGCCGACTGTCCTTGAAGCTTTAACCCTTGCCACACTACAGTTGATAATGTTTTATTGTTTTACTTTTGTTTGTGGACTCAGAATAATCATACCTACCTGGGTAAAAATATAAATTAAATCTGAACAACCATACTAAACTCAGGTTATCAAGCCCATTCTCATCTGTGTATTGTTTTTTGTAGCTGTACTAATGTCCCATACCATGGCAGGGTGCCCCATCAACTACTCTTTAAAGTACATGACAAGCGCTAGATAATTTATTACATTTTTAAAATACTTCAGGCAACAACAACAATGCCATACACAATACTAGCTGAAATAGCCCTATCTAAATCGGTTTGATATTTTAATAGAACTATTTGTAAAATACAGAATTCCTCTTTTATAGCTTTAGCGATGTTATGTATTTTAAGGTCCTTTATGGAAGCTGTGGTTAATGTTCATTAACAATCTGTAACTACTTGCTGACAAAGACTGTTCCAGAGCATTGATCCGAATCTCATTGAAGAAATACTTACAGTAGGTAAAGTAAAATGATAACTGGTTCCAAAAAATGGCTCAGTTAAAATTGTATCCACAGTTTATGCATCCTGTTGCAGATTGACAGAAAGAAAAGTTTTTTACTTAGCTAATCTCATTTTGTGCATTGTAAGACATTTCCTGACTTAGGTGTTCCACGAATACCTACTTACATATCTACATATACACATGTACTGTATATCCACTGCATATATGAAAGCATATGACATAGCACAATAAAAAAATTAAAGATGGCAATGCTTGATTATATATATAAAAGATTAATAATATCAAGGCAGCACAGTGGAGTTTGTATGTTCTGCTCATATTTGTGTGGGCTTCCTATGGGTGGCCCTTTCGTGCAACCCTGAATTGGATAAAGCACTTAGAATATGGAGAGATAAATAATATAAAAGAAATAAAAACCATAAAAATTGTGATTTCAATCATATTATGCAAGGAGAAGATTAAGATTCTATTCCAAAATAGTTTTGATTCTCCTTTCTATTTTGGCCAGTGGCGCACACAAAAAACTAGTGAAATAAATCCACTGTGGAAAACAGTAGATGGAACATTTAAATTCATTTTTGCAATTAAACAAAACAAGAAGGGTAAATGGAATGAAAAAAAGGCATAATAAACATTTAAGACTTATTTTAATAATTATTCCAGCTTTTTGCTGAATACCTGTTTGATAAAAAGGTAATCTGAATGAAAAGTTTGCAATGTTGGTGACACTCTGAGACATCACATGTAAACCAATATTTAGTACTTTATTACTAAAACCTTATTCACAGTTTGTTGAATAAATTACTCATTAGTAAAGCATGTGCATTGTTAGTTTTTTATTAGTTACTAAAGGTAATACTGTAAATATCTAGTCAATCTTTACAACAGTGCCAGTATAACTTTCATAGTGTACAGTATATAACTAACATGTGGTTTACAGTATCCTAAAATGCTGTTTCTATTTTTTATATACATATTTTTTACATTTTCTTAAATTAAGATTAATTAATAAGCACACTAAAACCACTCTTGCTCTTCTAGCAAATCTAATACTGTTTTTTTAATAACTCAATTATCATTGCAGCTAAACAATGTACTGTATAAGTTCAGGTGGGTAGCTGCGTCAGCATGCGTAGGCTGCAAAGGAACAAGTAATAGGTGTATTCCATGCTAAAAAAAGAAGAAAGAGAACACAACGTTTCAGCCCTGGAACCTTCTTCAGGTGTGGAGAAGGCACACCTGAAGAAGGCTCCACGGCCGAAATGTTGTGTTCTCTTTCTTCTTTTTTTCAGCATGGAATACACCTATTACTTGTTCCTTTGCAATGTACTGTATACATCACTAGAAGCTCTAGTTAAAACTGTACATTGCTAATCAATAATATTTTATGAGGAAATAAAACCACATACTGTAACTTAGAATGTAAATTGTTTGTTAAGAGCATCATGTTTCTTCTATTCAGACATCATCTTAATGCTATTTCTTTCTGTGATATATGTGAGATATACTGTAGGTGTATACAGTATACCACTTGTATCTAGTGAGTCAAAACATTAGTCCAAGTAAACCGTTTTAGTGATAAACTAAAAACACAGAAATAATGTAAATTAACCGATCACAGCAATCACAGTTACCAGTTAAAGCAATAATAATTACAGTAATCACAAATGTGCTTTGTGTTGTTTAAGCTTCAATCATTTACTGTATTGTGTGTAAGAAAATCACACAATGAAAATTAGATGAAAACCTAATCCTGTAGAGTTAGGCACTGCCAGGACATATCACGTTTAAATTTCACCTGCAGGCAGTCCAGTCCTAATCCCCTTGATACACTCATGAGGATGTGCCTGTTTATCACTCCTACAGTATGTTTAGGAATTTAAACATGTATTGATTGATGTTGATTTAATAATTATTCATGTTTTAAGTGCTCATTCTATATTCCAATATAAAAAATATAATGAATTTGTCATATTAACATAAGGTTACATCAATCATCCCCTCATAGCCCCAGGCAAAAGGTTTTGTAGGATTTTAGATTGAGTACTCGCATACATGTATGCCTGTCCAGGGCAGTATTACAGTGGGCGGTACAATGGCAAGGTCACACACAGCTTGCCATTGTACTGTAATAACATCCATATTGTCTATACAGTAGCTATCAAATTCCCGCCTAAAAATATGTATTTAATCAACCTTAAATTAAACTGAATAATTTCTGTTCTGTTAATATTTTTAAAAATATTTTCAGTTATTCTTAGATCTTTACCAGTTTTGTTCTAATTTTGATTCCAATTTAAAAAGAAAGACCCAAACGGGTAAATGACCAAAGATTGTTTTTATAGCAGTATGATTCACTGATTCTTTGGCATGATGCCTAGAGCCCAGAGTATAGGCAGATGCTTTCAGGTAAACTGCTAACACTTCAAATGTGTTAATTTAATGAGCAGGGGAATATGAAGCATTTAGTAAAGTTAAGAGCTGCATGTTACAGTTTCTCATTTTCTAAAAATGTGTCAATACATTGAAATAACAATACAATCAGGAGAAAAAAATGTAACATATGGTACTGTACATGCTTCTTATTAACTATATTGCACTGTACAGTAAATCCAATAAACTCCTTCTTAAAGCTGATTTTCTCATAATCAAACTGAAACTTACAGGGCTGCAAAATGTTGGCATAAAGGTCCAGTATCTAGACCAAACTGTTCACATTGTCCAAAATTCTCTGCCTATATTCCCCAAGACCATCACTATTTTACTAACTCTTCCATTCAGTTCAAAGTGATAAAATATGTTTCAAGAGACAAAACTACTGAAGACCTTGGACTTTGTACATTTCAAAAGTGATGGTTGGTAGCTAGAGAAATGTGCATGTTCTTCCCATTTTTGCTAGGTTATTTTTTTACAGGTACATCAGTTTCCTCCCCCCTTCAAAAGGCATGCTGGTAGGTTGGTAGACTGTGCTCCAATGCCCATCTAATGAGGAGCAGGAGCTAGGCTCCATGATCTTTAATCTGCTGTTTCTGCTACAAAACTAACCCTATTATTGTTAGGATAAGGCTCTGAAGAAGAAGAACAAGGAGGAGGAGGAGGATATGAAGAGTAATGTTTATTTGCTTTTTATTGAGTGTAGTTAATACATTAGGCATACCTAATTCATTAAGTTATTTTATTGTTTAAGTACAGTATATTAAAGTGATAGAAGGTTTCCTATATGAACAACAAGTATATTTAGTATACGGAAATGAAATCATGGTTTTGGGAAAAAATGACTGCATTTTCTGTACACCACGTGTAATAATGTGGACTTGTGAAATGGCTCAGAAAAAAAACACAAGTCAGTTATTCAATTTTTATTTGTGTGCTTGATAAATTAGATAATTGTAGCACTACCAGCAACCTGTTCAGTCTGGAATGCAGAGAAGAGGGGTTTAAATACCCCAGAAGTCTGAAGAATAGGGATTCTGTCCAGTATCATTATAAAGTTCACAGATGCAGCGAAGCCTTATTATATTATCTATTATAGCTTAGTCTTTTCCATACTGTCTTCCTCTGCATGCTTTGCCATTCACATTTTTCACTTTTGGTAATCATGATTAAGACTACTATAAGCTAGAATCCCGCTGTGCATCTGCCATCTTGCAGCACTGAAGTAAACATCCTCTTGCTGTTTTTCCTCAATTTGTTTTTATCGCTTTTGTCAGAAAAGAGATAAATTAATTGCCCTCTAACACTTTTCTGGCAGGTCATATGCTTGTATTATTGCTGGAAACACGTGCAAGAATAACAATATGCATAACTGGAAATACATTTTTTCATACCAGAATCAATCTAATTTGTTGAAGGCTGCCTTCTTTTTAGTTTTGTTAGCAAAAAGGCAGTCTGTGTCTAAATCCAGATTTTTAACACTTCATTACCATTTTTTTCTAAAAAATCTCAGTACCAAATGTAGAGCTGTTCCCCTCAATCTTTATATGACCTATCACAACTCAACCAGGAGGATGAAGCCAGAAAAGAGAAATAAAAATTGAGAACGAAACAAAAAAATATTCTGTGTTTATGTTATTATTTTCTCATGTTCAGTAAACCAACAATTACTTATGGAATCCAACCAATCTACTGCAGGACATTTTTCTAGACAAGCACAGACTCAGCAAAGTGAAAATTTCACTTGTTATGCACACGTCTGCTTGCATTTATCTCTTTGTCCTGCTTGCAGCTGCTGGGTCAATTGAAGGGTTCCCGGAGTGTATTCACCCTAGTTATTTTTTTTTATCATTTGTTTGGACTGGGGCAATGGAAGGGGAGAGGTTGTATTTTAAGATAAATTATTTTGAACTTTTAGTGCTATTTAAACTGCCTGATGAATATGGCTTGAAAGAGTTAGAGCTCACTGTATTGCATTTTATCTCTCTGTCTCTGTCTCCCTGGGCATTCTGTCTCCCTGTGTCCTCCTCTGCTCCTGTGTCATTGTGTCCAGGTGTCCAACCTGTATCTATATGATAGCGTGCTCATGCTGGCCAACGCGTTCTACAGGAAGCTGGAGGACAGAAAGTGGCACAGCATGGCCAGCCTGAATTGCATGCGGAAATCTACCAAGCCTTGGAATGGCGGGTGGTCCATGCTGGAAACCATTCAGAAGGTAAAGGCAGTGTAATACAGTATAAAACTCACACTAGACACACTAGACAGACAAGCCCATAAAAATAAATAATTCAAAACTAAATTAAATTGCAATAGACTAAAAATGCTTGCCCTTCTTTTTCCCCTCTATGATATATACTGTACAGCTGTGGCAGTTCCCTCTTGGTTTTGTGGCATGGATGATCTGTACACATGATCCCCCTGTCACAGCGTACCTGTACTGTATTTGCTAACATTTCATAACTCTGGAGAAATGTGGAACCTGAGATCAGGCCAGACAAACCCTGGTGTAAAATCCTCCCCACTCTGACTTGGTCCATGACGTGGTTTTTCTTCATTGGGTTCCCCTCTGTTGCCTAATTTCTAAATGATGTGCTTGTTTAATTAATTTGTACCCATGCACCACTACACTTCTCCCTTCTAACCCCAACCTTCATGGAATGTGAGACCTGCTCCACCCAATTTAAACCCATGGGAGAGCCAGCCTGCTTCTCACTTTAAACCTATGAGACATGAATATCCTTCTTTTCTGGAAAAGCTGTAACCTTTAAACTCTAACTTTACAACTTGCCAATTAGACTCCTAAAACTTGTGTCCTGAACCTTTGTGTAGAAAGAAGCAATGGAAGGCAGCAGCAGATCTCTCTCTCTCTTTGCTTTGGGTGAATACCTGCACTTTTCTCTCTCTGACTGGTCTCTAAGACACACACTTGCGGCGTAAACTATCACAGATGGCTGAGAGACACAATAGCTCCATAACAGCAAGGTTGGGTCTTGTTTTACTCTGTCATTTCCTTTGGTTTTCCTCACTCCATTAGCCTTTTTCCCCCCAGATTGGTATTCAGTCTGTTAAGGTTATGTTTCCTTATGTAGAGACCTACTGTATATTCATAAGGTGATATGCCAAAGAAAGTGCCATCAGCAATGCCCTGCATCTGCTAGGAGAAAATATATAGATAATACTTTATTAATCCCATAGGGAAATTGATGTATAAAATAAAACTAGTAATAAACATTGTTTTTAAATATAGTCTTTTCAGGTATTTATTTGACTGAAGAATTTCAAATATTTGAAATGCAGATGCCTTTTCAACATTAATTGAGTAGTATCCCTTCACCTGCTGCTTTTCCATGCTTCTTATTTTCTGCTATACAGAGAGACTGTACAGAGAGAGATATGTACATGCCTTCCCCTGAATGTCCCAAAAAATGAGGAGGTACACTGAGAGTTCAGCAAATTAACAGATCATTGCACAAATGATAGTTTTCACTGAGGCATTTTATATACTATATCCAGGCTTTTACTGAAAATGTGCTAAAAAGAACATGCTCTTGGGAAACAATTTTCTTCAGAGGGCTCAGTCATTTAAAAGAAAGCCTGACCCATTAATTCTCTGGTCACTTGGTAGAGCTGTGGGGGAGATGCACAATGAAGTATCACACTAACACTACATGGAAAACTGGCTAGTAGTAACAGTTTTGAAAAACGTTATCTTGCAGGCCCCCTAGTGATTTATTGTACAGTATTCCCCTGAACATGTTTCAGAGAGTTACTATATATAGTGAAAATTGTAGCAAATATTTATAAAATTCAAGTCATGTACTTGTCTCTTGTGACATTTGTCTCCTAGGATGCCCATGGGATGAAGAATCAAAATGAAAATCACACATAATGAATATATTAATTACAGTTATGCACCATCAGGTCTGTCTTTTACAGGTACATTGAGAGTGTTGGCCTGCCATAACTCAGTGGTGTTTCACAGTCATGACCTCACCGAGAAAGGGCATTTTTGTTTATGTTATTGAGGTCTTTTTTTGTAATGCCCACGGCAAGAAGTATTTTATGCTTTTTTTTTGTTTATTTTGTTTAGGTATCCACTGCATGTTTATATTTTCAGTTAAGAAATATGGTCATTACAAATTTCAAACATTCTTTTATTATCAAAACTTGGATCAATATGAACAACAAGAAAAAAAAGAATTGTGGTGTCTTGTTTTCAAGCTGAAGAATAATAGTCAAATAAGTGCTTCCTTAAATACGTAAAGACTCACAGAAATAAATGTGAGGTTATTCACATGGTCTCTCTCAGGATACCTTGCTGGTACTGCAGTCCGTTTCACATTCTAGGAAACTATCAGCTTTGGGGTAAAGAAAGACCATTTCCAGTGATTCCTGCTCAATTTCATGCACTTTTAAACATGCACCATGAACCATGGACAGCTACAGTATGTCCCACGGGGACTCCATCAGTAGAGCTGGCTGGTGGAACACAGTAGACTGTCACTTGGGCACTTCAAAGCTCAACCCTTCGCATTGTCACTGCAGAATGATTGGCTCTAAATTCTTCAGGGACTTTATCTGCTCTAACGAGATATTAAATCATTTAGCCTCTGGATTTTAGATATATATTTCACAGGTAAGTAGGTAAAAAGTTTAGCCTGAAGTGAATTAAGCCCTTTAATAGAATGTCCTGAAGTGATTGTTTGGGCAGGTCTTACAGACATCCCTGTGAGCCAAGATGTTGCAAATAACTGGTCGCTAAAAAATACATCCCAAACTGTAAAAGCTGTATGATTTCATTTTGACCTGAAGCAAGGGCTTTCTGTGTCTCATTTTACCTCCTCTGTGATCACAGCACTTCTGACATTTATGCAGCTGTAATATCCATGTGATGAAACAGCTTTACACCACAGATTCATCACAAACAAATGCCACCATCAATCTGAAAGACCTCCTCAGGTTGCATAGCTCATGCAACATAAATGAAATGAAAACTATCAACAATCATTTATACATCACTATCAACAATCAATTATACAGACACTGGTTTTCCACAAGATGCCTTCTGTTGCTATTGTTGTAAGACGTTTTATGCTTTGTGTTTTGCACTGTTTGCCTTCTTTGGTTTCCCAGGTTTTTGTCACATTACTGTGGTCTTCTGCCTTGATCTTGAATGTAGTAGCGAGCTTCTTCACTGCTCTTCTCTCCTTTAATCTTGCCTTTGGTCTGAATCCTGTAGGGCCGAATCACCGGACTGACAGGAATAATGGATTTTCGGGATGATGGTGCCAACGCTCATGTGCAGTTTGAGATCCTGGGTACCAGCTATAGTGAGACCTTTGGCAAAGCTGTGCAAAGGGTAAGAAATGGTTTACATCTGGGGCTGCCTGGGAGATGAGAAATGAGAATACACAATCAGAGGAAACAGTAGATGGATGTACAGAATACAATAGGAGCAGAGGGGTAAAGAACAGGACCAGTTAAGTAAAATCCCTTCTAAAGAAGAAGGTTTTGACTCTAGACTTGAAGGAATTTAGAGACAGTGACTCTCTGATATCCTTAGGGATAGATTTCCAGAGCTTTGGGGCATAACAGGAGAAGTCTTTGTCACCCATAGAGGGCTTGGTGGACAGATAGAAGGCCAGAATTAGAAGAGCAAAGCTTTCAAGGTGGGGAATAGACAATACTAGCTCAGACACTTACTGAGGTGCCCAGCCATGCAGAGCCTTATTGTCATGAGCAGTTTTTTCCGGGCCCTATGCAGATGACACAATCTGGTTGGTGAGGACACAGTATGGAGAAAATCATGCAGGAGAAGGGTATGGAGACAGGGGGGCGTGTCCAAGGTGTCTGGGGGAAGTGAGTCCGGGGCGAACAATCAAAGATGAAATCCAAAACGGGGAAGCCAAAACAGAAGAGCAGTCCAATGCCAGACGATCCATCCGAAGCAATTAAAAAGCAGGAGCCGGGTCGGGACCAGCGGGGGGAGTCAGGAACGAAGGGTTAAAACCATAACGGAGCCAGACGCAGCAGGACCCCGGGTTCTCATGAAATGGGATTCAATGAGGAACCTCGGGTGACGTCTGCTTCTGGCTTTTAAGGAGGAACGGAAATCAGAAACAGGTGCAGTTAATGGGGCAGATATAAGAAGGGCTGGAGTGCCCTTAAGAGGAGGAGTAGTGATCGTGACACTTATAGGTGAGCATGAGGATTTTGAAGTCAACACAAAACCTGATGGGAAGCCAGTGCAAGGACTCCAGGGTGGGAGTAATGTAATCACTTGCACTAGACCTGGTCAGTATTCGGCTGCCGAATTTTGGACATAAATTTGTTGTCCATGTGAATGTGATAAGTAAAATGAAAAAAAAACCTGTGGCATTGGAACATTTGTCATGAAGGGAAGGCTTTGTAATCTTAGAGAAAAATGTTTATCTTCATGGTTTTGTACAGATTGTACAGAATTGTTCTTTAATAGGTGTTTTTCTTATTTTTAAAACAGGAATGAAAAATCTAGATACAGTAAATGCAGAAGCATGCACTCCCTATAAGGGTCACTGCTGTTTTTATGCACTCCTTTATTAGCAATACAGAACACAGTAAGCAGCTTCTGCCTCAGAATACACAGTGCTGAGCCACTGCCATATCTCCTTGGAGAAGTGAAATCCTGCAGGCAGTGAATCCTTCTTCTCCTGAACCCAGGGCCCCTCAGAGGAGACAGCTTCAGAAAGGGGTGACTTCTTTCAGGGAGAACAGAGCTAGGAAATTCTATTCAAATATTTTTCTATAGGCCTTGATTATGAAAATTGAAAGACAAGCCTCCCAGCATGAAATTCGTAGGCGCTTAGCTAATGGTATAGCTTTTACTTTAAAGGGTTCCTCAGTTTTAGAGTTCACTGCTTTATTTTGTTGGTTTTTGTTTGGCATTAACAGTTCTGCTTTCATTACTATTTAGCAAACACTATAGGTGTTTTGTTTCAGTACCTTGGGATTTTTTTAAACATTATTGTACACAATTGTAAAATTGTACACAATACATTGCACAATCACAGAAGCAAAGACGTGTACTATTAGGAACCAAGCAGGGCTTTTATTGCAACCCCCTATGGGCATGGTCTTACACAATAAGGAATTGTGTTAATACCTCTCTGCCCTGTTGTTTCATGACTGAACACTATCATCCACAGATTCTGGCTATATTAATTTTTTAATGGTCTCTTTGGGATGGTTAAGACTGACCCCATGATCTTACAATCGTTTTTTTTTTTCCTGAACTGGAAACACTGGAATTATGTACCATAAACTGAACAGCTTATGAAAAAGATATATGTATAATTATAGTGCATCTAGCATGATTGGTGTCTTATTTATTTGACCTTTCTCAATTCTTCCATAGCACTCTTCTCAACCATTCTCTAGCCATTCATCCTATTCTCTTCTGTGATTGCCTGTTTTAGCTTTTCTGTGCATCACTGCTAAGGAATAACTAGACGGATTTAATTCTATTGAGTTTAGTTCCAAAGAGAGTGTATTTTGCATTTTCTGGGCTTTTTAGTTATTCAATACTCTCCACTTTGCAAGCACACACTTGAAAAAGAAATCTTGCGTAATATAGAAACATTGCATTCATCATTGTTAGTTCATACATTTCAATATCTTTGAAGGTAATTATCACCAGTGGAAGATGATGTCCACATTTATACAGTGCATTTCTCAATTTCTGCTATTTGTTTTGGTTCAGTTTTAACTTGACATTCACTAGCTGGTATTGAGTCTGGTGCATCATGCTTCCATTCAGCTGACTGACTAATTTGCTAAACTTTAAAAACAAAACAAATGTCTTCCCTGCCTTTAATGTCTGTAATAAAATGTTGTCCATAATGTCCTTAGCTGTATAGTACTGTATCTTATTTTCTTTAGCTTCATGTCTACACAACTATGATTATAGTGTCTTTGTAGAACAGACTAAGACATGTGTTTATTTTCTGTTACAGAAAACCTTAGTGTTGCTAGTTTTTAAGCTTAGACTCATCCCTGACTTTAGCTTATGTTGCTTATCACTTTTTTTCTAAGTGGCTGTTAGAGGGCTTTGTAACATATCTATTTGGTCAGTAGAGTGACATACTGTACAGTACATTTGTATAGGAATGTTAGAAAATGGAAGTACAAGATAAAGATATAGTAGCAATTTGTATTCATGAAATAAAAAGAAGCTAAAAATTTTGTATGTTCAATCCATCCTTTTTTCTTCCTTTATACAGCAGTTGCAGAAAAAGCCTCAGTGGAGATTTGGTATGCTTATTGTTATTGAGATGTGCAGTAGTGGCAGCTGAAATTGTCAAAGCAAATAGTAAAGCCACCATTACAGGGGCTATGTGATGCTAATCTTTAAAAGATACCTAAGAGCTGGATGTACCTTGTAATACAGAGGATTGCAAATATGATGTTGTACAGACCATAGCTATTAATAGAGCAGGAGACTTTGTACTTGTGTATCTCCCTGAAAGCCAGATCATATTATCTAAATGTTTGTTTGAAAGATCAAAACTTCTGCAGCGAAGACATTCTAAGTATCTGAGACTGCAAAGAAGCTCTTTAAAAGCAGCACATCCACAGTTTGTTTCTTTTTTAAATTTAAATCTATATTTAACTTTTCAGTGCATAGTCTTCTACAGTATGTCATTTTTATTAACACTTTTACAGTCCCATAATTTAAGCCAATTCAAACTTTATCAAGTACCTTTCAAAGATGTATGCTTTACAAAGTGTAGTAATAGTAAAAACAATTGATATCTAAAGCAATAAAAACACAATGTATTCATGAAAGAATTTAAACAGGCCAAACCTACACTAATAGTAGATATATTCACAACACCAGTAGATGAGCTTCAGATCCATTCAGTGTGTATAAAAGGAGAACAATCTGCAGCTAGGGGATATCTTGATTAGAGAGAGTAGAATGGCTTTTTGTCACTGATAATTGATTAATGGCATTTTAATTGTGTGTAAGGATTCTGGTCTTCGTTGCATCATCATTGGATAGCTAGCTTTTTTTATAATGCAGCATTAGCCATCAACCTTTATTACTGTATATCAATTTATAGGCGTATTAAAATCAGGGAGTGCAGTAACACTATGTTTATGAAATTTCTCAAATGTTTTTTTTTTCTGAATGCTCCTTGTCACAAACAAAATGTTCAACTAAATAGTTTTTAAATCAAATATCAATAATTCAGAATAAATGCACACATGTGGACATAAGAACTCAGGATATCAGTACAAGTACCAAAATACTCATTACTGCTTTTTGGTATTTACGTCTCAGTGACAGTTGTAACAGGGCATCAGAAATAGCTATTACAAACATACTGTACAAAGCAGGCTGTAATGCAGAATCATTGTAATGCATTGCTAGGTCTTTGCAAAAGCACAGCTCTACCAGACTGCAATTAGTGTGAAGGCTGCAAAAGCACTGTACATCTCAAGATGCCAATGCATTTGGATTGCAAAAGCAAATGTGTTTGAATGATGAGACACTTCCACAGTTTATTTTTTACACAATATTTAAAAGTATTAAAAATGCAATACATTTAATTTATACAGTCAACTTAGTTTGATAGCCTGGATTCCACATTCAGATTGCTTGGTGACCCTCATCATCAGGCTTTTAAGGGATGCTGTTTTGGGTGGTATTTTTTAATACTATTATCTCCTCATCCTGAATAAATTTCCATGGATGATACACCTAGGGGAATTGAAAAGGAACAGAAAGCCTTATAGTGTTACTATTTTAAACAAGTCAGCTTGCCTGAATAGATCTTAAGGCTTAGAAGTGAATGAGAAGAAGGCTGTGGCAAGAGGTCATTTCCTACTGTTTTTGTGGAGTTTTCTGAGAAACTCAATATGCATTTTTTCCCACTTCTTTCATGCTGTTCTGTAATGCACAGGTTGTGAATATCACATTGTGGCCTAAAGGCAGAATGTGAGGCTTGGTGTATATTTGGAGGTTAATGTGTTTTAATTTTGAGAGTTGTGAAATTGGTCAAAGTCATAATGTCTGCCCTGACTTTCTCATCAGGTTTAATAATATGTTCTCTTATTTTTGTACAAGTAAATGCATAAGCACATTGTGATCAAAATGCTGTTAAAACAACAGAAAAAGTATATCTGTTCTATCACAATATTTTTCATGCCAGAGGCTGCTATTTTTGCTTTTTAAATCCCTGGTTGCTAGAGTTCTGGCTTTCTTTAATGTGAATAAAGGAGTGTAAATGACAATAATTAAGTACTAACAATTATTTTTATACTTTGTTAGTACACTTGCTTTGACTATGATTACCTACAGTAGTACCTAGTAATATA